AAMAYTCYTCAATTCMAGGAYAATTATTGCCTAAATTCAAATCGAAWGTTTGYTCKYTCATCCCAMAYGGTCCAGTGCATCATTTCTGGATGTTWAAATTTGACTGCGCCTTGAGTAAAACGTGYCACATTGCATTYCAGTATTTACTCGTGTTCTTGTGTTTAATGACATAGGGAGTTCCTGGTCCACGTGGACAGAAAGGAGAACGAGGYGCATCCGGACCATCGGTAAGTTAAGTATTCATAACCCTGCTTTTATATTAACAAGAATTATATTTAATGATGTGTTATTGATGTGATTCATTATAGGGGAAGATTGGACCACCTGGTGCACGAGGAGCCAGRGGACCAGCTGGACCAAAGGTGATCATTTAGTTTTATCTAATTATCTATGAAATACCTTTTCTTTCGAAAAGTTGTTATTTTTTACAAGTGAAAATAACAGCTATTTTATTTTCACTAGTGAAAAAAGCACATTCGAGGTTTCTCTATAAATTGGAAGTAAAATAAAATTTATTTTACGGCATAATTTGCTTTCATTATATGATAAACAGAATATTACATGGTCGCTTGGAGATGCGAATTGTATTTTCTTGTGAGAGATCTTTTCAACGCTTGATAAAATCCGTATCTCCGCGCGCCCATGTAATATCAAATAAATCAAGAATGGTAACCAAAAACGCATTCTTAATCTCAATAATTATTTACATAGGGAGATCAAGGTGAAGTTGGCGATCCCGGTGCTAATGGAAGAGTCGGTGATAAGGTTAGAGTAAAATACGACGCACATTGCTTTGTGTTATATATCTTTAAAACTGATTGCTTTTTGTGCTTACTCCCGTCTTAAGACGGGTAAACACTATGTTATCGAGTAGTAGGTAAGTCAGTAAGTAACAGTCAAGTGATTYGAGGCAAACCCCCCACTTTACCCCCCTGAATATCAACAATCACCATTGAACTTCCCACCACCTCCCCGCTGTTTCAAACTATGCGTCGTATAAAACTATAGCAGTCCCTATCGCTCGACATTAACACTTCATAACAAAAACCGTCTATATTAATTCAATACACAGGGTGACCGTGGACCAAAAGGTGATTCCGGAGCCCCTGGCGTTGCTGGAACACCTGTAAGTAAATAAGAACTGTCTGTCTGTCTGTCTATCTATGTAGCTATCCGCCTGTCTGTCAATTTTAATCATTTCTGAATTCTACAGTCCTTATTTAACCTATCTTTAACTAGAACTCTTCAATTCTAGGGTCGACCTGGTGAACCAGGACAGAAGGGAGGACGTGGAGATCCTGGACCGCAGGTATACTGACTTATATTAGTATAAACATACTAATGGTCTATCACTCATACTGCGCTGTGATTGACTACTCTACTAATGGTCTAATTTGTGATAGACCACTCGCGGGAAAATGAAATTGGCGGCATCTCATTAATACATTATTTTAAGGATAATTTCAATTTGATTTCATTATTTGACCGATTAGTATGTTTATACTAAAACAATTGGACCTCTCGGCCTCGTGGACTACGAGGTAATAGCCCATTCGGCCTCGCGGACTCGGCCTCAAAGGCTATTAGCTCGTAGTCCACTCAACCTCGAGCTCTAATTGTTAATTAGAGGAGATAACTAGCCTTTAACTACTGTGAGCGGCTTTTTCATTTTTTTAATGAAAAAGCTGTTATAAAATGATATGTGATATATTGTAAAAAGATGAAAATTTAATGACTTTTCGGATGTTGTCCAGAAGTTTTTTTTTGTAGCAAATGAAACAAGGATTGACATTTTAAAACACTAATACAAACAACGTTCGCAAAAAAAATGCAACGGAAAACCAAGAAGATATAGAAACAAATAAATAAGTGAAGACAATTTCGTCTATAAACATACCGCCATGTGTTAACATRTGAATGCTTTATCGTACATTAGGGACCACAGGGACCCCGTGGMCCTCCTGGACCATCTGGAGATACTGGACCAATTGTAAGGCGTGTTTATTATTCCATTTAATTCTTAACTATTCCCATACATGCTATAGAGAGGGTGGGCTTTCATCTCTCGGAAGATGTAATCCAATATTTGTCTTGTTCAAAATATAAAAAGAAAACAAAAGATAAAAAGTGTCATTGTTCTTTTAAGGAYTACACAGCGGTGAAGACCTACCCATAATGAGGCAATGCCACTTACATGTTTCTTATTGTAAAATATTGTTTTTCAGGGCCCACCRGGACCTCCTGGACCAACTGGACCCCAAGGCCCACAAGGAGCTAAGGTAGATAATGCGCTGTGGGGAGTTTCCTCCAATTTTTGCTGTTGYTGTTTCCTACAGCGTTGACTGAAGAATTATTATYAAGATTGAAATCAAAATTATCTACTTATCGCCTTGTAACACTACTTAATACAATTATCACTCCTCCAGCAACCTTCCTTTGAATGACATACTTTATAAACAATTACACGTATTCATTGGAAAATGTCTCGACCAACCCATTGCCTTGTGCAGCTCTCCAGCAACTTGTTTATTAACGTCGTTGCGAGACGAATTACTGAGAAAATTTCACAGTCTCTACATCTACATTTATTAATAAGCAACGCTTTCTCATTAAGCCGATATACATTTTCAAATATAAAAAAATCTAATTAAAATAAATCTAAAATGTCAATTTATAAATATAAATATCCTAATAATAAATAATAGCGTAACAGTAACAGTGTAACAGCGGTTTTAGAATAACAGCCCTTTCTTTCCACCATTACAGGGTAGTCGTGGCCAAGACGGAGAAGATGGCGCACCTGGAAAACCCGGCCCACGCGTAAGTGACGATTGTATCGAATTTTGTTTATTAAGTTGTACATTCCCATTTTGTCAAATTTTGCGTTTAAGCTCTAGTTTACTCCAGCAAATGTTTCTCGTAGCATATACAGCGATTTTTGCCGCAATCTTGTGTCACAACTTTGAATTTCACGCGGAAACAGTCTACAAAATCTTGGCGATTTTGCGACAGCAGATCCCAGGTTTCGAACATGCTGGAAATGTTATGWCAGTTCGCTGCGATGTCACTTGAAATTTGCCAGCTAATCCTAAATGTGCGGAGTGTTTGCACCGGGGAACAAAATCGCCGCTAAAAGCGTCTCCCATATCACGTGGCTGTATTTGATTGCGCTTGCGCATTTGTAAGCATGCATGTATGGATATATTAGCGATATTGAGCAATTGTAAAACCTGGATATTTATTTTCCAGGGTGCACCAGGTCGCCGTGGAGATGATGGGCCCCCAGGACCGGCTGGCCAACCAGTAAGTCAGTCATTCTTGTGTTTAATTGTGGATTTGTATGAGAAATACCTTTATTGATGATTGTTAAATGATATTGTAGCAGCCTAAGATCAATAAACCTGTTTTCTTTCAGGGTGAAGCCGGTCCAAAAGGATATGCCGGAAAAGATGGAGAACCCGGAGACAGGGTACCCATGACAATCTGAATTTCATAATAAACCCTTTTAGCGATTTCTTTTACGCTGTGTTAGCCTCAAAACCATGTAATAAGTTCTTTTATTCACAACAGTCCGTGCAAATGCAAGGGGCTGAAAGAGATCTGCGAGAATAGAAGACAATGGAAATAGTTTGAAATCTCACGAGTTTTATCTACATTTCTGAATATTTTAGCACACAATTGAGGCTAACACAGCGTAAAAAAGATCGCGAAACTCAACTATTGGCAAATCCAGACTCACACTATTTTTGTTTATGAAGGGTAACACTGGACCGCCAGGACCTCAAGGTCCTGTTGGACCCCCCGGAGCACAGGTGAGTAATTGATACAGCGTTGTCTCGCATCGACAATCAATTCTCATTTAATGGTATTTCTCAGGGACCTCGTGGACAACGCGGTTTACCTGGAGAGCAAGGTGTTCCGGGCGCTCCTGTAAGTACAACTTCTTCAGACGTTTCGTTTAATAGTGCTAAAATGCCCTTTTTCTCATCTTTCCTGTTTGTATGTCTTCTAGGGTGATGTAGGACCGCAAGGCATTACTGGTCCTCCCGGAGCTGTTGGCGCAGTTGTAAGTTATATTTATTTAATAACATTCTTAGAGTGGGGTCCTTAATAAAGAATCACAACCAACCGCCGTAGCTTGTGCCATTTTAGGTGAACACGAAAATGGCGGATTCGTAGGATTTC